TGTGGGGATCTTGTTTCTTTCGGTTTGTTCTCTTAATCCTTTAATCCTTCTAAGCCTCCCTACTCCTGTTCACTGCTCTATACCTTACACAGGTATCCAAATTATGGGAGATGCTGCGCTGCAGATGAGAAAATTTCTTACAGTAATTTCCTTTCTGCTAGCACCAGCTTCCACTATTCCACACTGTATCCTGTGTGGCATTTCAGTCCTGGTCATTTTATATGGACAACTTCTGGAAAGAATAATAGAAAATTAGGGTTAGAAGAGACCTCAGGAGGTCATCTAGGCAGTGCCCTACTATACCCAGTTACTTGGGTGGCTCTGGAATTATTAACAAAACATGTAGATGGTATCATGAGCTTTCGTGGGCACAGCCCACTTCTTCAGATGACCAGAGTTATCTGAAGAAGTGGGCTGTGCCCACGAAAGCTCATGATACCATCTACATGTTTCATTAGTCTATAAAGTGCTACCAGACCATTTGTTGTTTTTTCTGTAACAGACTAACTCAGCTATCCCCTGAAGCTCTGGAATTATAGTTTCTAATTATTTTCTTCAAGTTTTTACACACCTTTGGAATGAACCATCTGGTGGCAAGCTGGAGAAGAGGGTGTAGCCAGCATGGGCTATGCCAGAAACTGGAGACCAGAGGGGAATGGCCCATATGTATCAGAATTGTGAGAGAGACTGCTAGTGGGAAGGAAATATTCAGTAAAAATATTTCCATTTCCATGTGTGGTATTTTCTGCTGTTAAAGAGTCTTATTTATTATTTTATTAGAAGAAGATGACTCAGAAGAGGTAGTAGTGACAGTGACAGCAGAGGGGGAAGGCAGCAAAGGAAAGGCTCTGACGGTAGGGAACTGCGACAGACTTTTCCTGATGCCAGTCTTTCATTGCATGAGGGAAAAGGTCTAGCAGTGGGGCACAACACTGCTAAAAATAGTAGCGTAGACTGCTTGGATATGTAGAGAGCCATAAAGAGTATGCACTTTAGCATTCGGGAGTGTCCTTAGTCATTTAAGCACTGCCATCCCATCTACATTGCTATTTATACCTGTGCTAGTTGGGCATGCTATGTATGTACTCTAAACACTGCCATAAGTGCAGATCAACCCTAAGGGGAAATGTGTTATTTATAGCATTTAAGTTCTCCAAGCCAACACCTCTTAACTGCATCTATGTCCAGTCAAACAAGAATGGAATACAAGTAGCAGGAATCTAACATGAAAGACATGTATACATCCCCAAAGATATCAATATGGAACAGCTGAGCTCTGAAAATAAAACAGAAATGTTACCACCAAAATATTTAAAAGGGAATAGCAAAATATCTCAATTATTTTGAGATGAAGATTTTGTATCCTTTAGCTTCTATTCTACAAGGGAAAATCATAGTGTGAACGTATCTGTGACTGAGAAATAAATTATTATTAGAAATTGGATACCAGGATATTCTTCTTCCTCCCGATATAAACTATCTAGGCCTGTTAGGAAAAACAAATGCAATATTAATTTGTATGTATAGCACAGCAAATATAAGCATCAAAATTATGATGAATTTGAATAAAAATTAATTGGGAAAACATTTATTGTAATGCTCGTAAAACCTTTGGGACTTTGTAAACTGTTGTAAGACCAACAAGAAAATCCATCCATGATAGAATGGAAAAAGGCATGAACCATCTGGGTCTGGGAGAGGACATCCACTCAAATGCATCATTGTTTTATGAATCCATCCAAAGACTGAAAAAATTGGAGAACTATGGTCAAAGAAAATGGGCCAAATCCTGCCACTCCCAATGAATACTGTCTTATTTAGTAACAGTCTCACTGATTTCAATGGGATTGCTTATGGTTTAAAGCATCACTCAACAAGACTAAGGGTGACAGAACAGGACCCTATCTAAACCAAGGATTTATCTTAATACTTAAAAACATTCCTTAATGGGCAAATCATGGTCCCAATAGAGTAAACAGGAGTTTTCCATTGATTTCAATGGTGTCCAGATTTGTCCCAATGTATGAGTATCTATATAATAAGATTACAGGATTGACATAGTGTGTGTCATTCTGAGCTAGAATGGCAGTTTGAAGTGATGGAAAAAGTTACAGGTATGGTTGAGAGCTCTATTTTAGAATGGTACCAGGTTCACTCTCACCAAGATTTGCAGTCTGCTTTCATCCAATTTTTAAATTCTCAGCCATTTTGGCTTAAACTCTTACACCTGTGTTGTGTACAGCTATAGTAAGGCATTTATCTATGCCATGCCAAGAGTCTAGATCACTGTGATATCCGAGTTAACCAGTCACCACCCTCACTCTACATCTGATTTGCATGCAACAATGTAATTGGTTGTATGAGGCAGACTGTACAGATGGTGTCTTACTCAGCCCAACGATTATATCCTTGCGACAGCATGAGCTTTCAGCTACTAGTACAATAATAAGTGTGCCTAGCTTTTCTTAAGCTTTTTGGGTATTCTGAATATGTAACTATTAAATATAATTGCATGTTTGCATATAATGGAATAAACTTCACCCATAGTCAATATCAGCCCCTGGTAAAAAAGGAGGATGATTGATGTCAGACTGGCAGCCGGCAGTAAAACTTTGCCAAAGAAATCCATGAAATGAGACCTTTATATACCCTATATGAAATGAGGGCATTCCTAGTAGAACATTCATTCCTGAGAAGCCTACTGCATCATTTTGGACAGATGTGATCAAAGAAAAATATCCAGAAAAAAAGACTGGTATCTAGTAATACGGGACATTAAGTGGAAAAAGTGCAGAGCTGGCTCAGACTCTTATGAAAAGGAAAGTACAAACTGCATACATTCAAGAGACCTAATGGAAGGAAGCAATGGCAAGAAGTATCGCAGAAGGCTATAAGTTATTATACTATGGCACATTGAATAAGAGACATGGAGTTAATATAGCGTTTGACAAATGGTAGAATCATATTTCAAACAAAATTTGATAATCTGCTAAGAGCCTGGCTAGTGAAACAAAAACAAGAGCCTTTTCTCCACAATTAAATTGGATGAAATGAGAAAATTCAAGAGACTGCAAAAGAAAAGAAAAAGTGTTTTCAGTTTTGGCAAGCGATGCTTCAGTGGCATGATTTTCAGAAGAATAAAAAAACTCCAAAAGATACTGAAGAAATGGTAATAGCCACTAAGGCTAATACCATAGATGGTTTATATGCCTGTCTTGAAACAGAGGATGAGGACAAAATATAGAGACTGGCAAAGACCTATAATGAGAGAACTAAAGATATCAGTGAAATCAAAGTAAATAAATATAAAAGTGGAATTATTTTAATGAGAACCAAATTAAGGAAATTAATTTGGAGAAACTATTTTGAAAGTTTTATGAATGAATAGAACCCAAGAGAACCAAGCTCTCTTGGTCTCGAAGCACCTAGAAAAAATAATTGAAGAAACATCAAGCAATATAAAAATAAGAAAGCTCTAGACCCCGATGGTATACCACAGTACCAGCAGATGTATGGAAATGGTTGGGGCCAGCAGAGGTGAACATATGGGCACAACTCTTTAATTTTATCATAAGGACTGAGAAGATGCCTGACGCACTGAGAAACAGCATAATAATATCAATTTTTAAGGGAAAAGGAGACAAACAAGACTGTGAACTACTGCAACATTAAAAACTCATGAGCCACACAATGAAGATCCGGGAGAATGTTATAGATAGGAGACTACCAAGAAAAGTAAAGGTCAATAACAATCCATTTGGATTTATGCCAGGTAAGCCAGCAGTGGATGTTATGTGTGCACTAAGATTACTTGTGAAACAATACAGAAAAAAAGAGGATACCCTGCATATAGTATTTATTGGTCCTGAGAAGGCTTATGACCACATTCTCAGAGAACTCATCTGATGGTGTATGAGAATGAAACAGCCATCTAAAAGGTATATCAAAATTGACCAAGACATGTGTGAGGGTGCTAAAAGACGGCCATGTGCAGTTAGAAGTGAACAAATTAGAGTTAATGTGAAAGTGATACCAATTGTGGAAAAGCAAGGGAATCCAGGCTTAGATGATTTGGGCATGTGAATAGAAGGTCAGAAGAATATATAGGAAATAGTGTGTAAACTTAACATTAAAAGGTAAGAGAAGGCTTAGAAGACCCAAAAACATGATGGATAGATGTTGAAAGATTTGATTAGCTGCAGAATTTTTGAGAAATTGCTTCAAGATAGACCGGAATGGAAGACTCAAAGCATGAGAACTAACCAGAATGGTTCTGGCTGCATTTGCTTATGATGGACTAAGAAACAAAGATAAAGGGACCAGGAGGGAGGAGGCCCAGGAAAACAGCAGGGCCGTGTCTACATTGGCGCGATCTTGCGCCAAAGCGGCCACTTTTGTGCAAAAACTTGCTGCCTGTCTACACTGGCCGCGAGTTCTTGCATAAGAACACTGATGTTCTAATGTATGAAATCAGTGCTTCTTGCGCAAGAACTCTGATGCTCCCACTCAGGAATAAGCTCTCTTGCACAACTGTTCTTGCGCAAGAGGCCAGTGTGGACAGGCAACATGAATTTCTTGCGCAAGAAAGCCCGATGGTTAAAATGGCCATCAGAGCTTTCTTGTGCAAGAGAGCATCTACACTGGCAGAGATGCTCTTGCGCAAAAGCACATCTCTTGCGCAAACGCACATGCCAATGTAAACGCTCTCTTCTGGAAGAGTTTTTGCACAAGAACTCTTCCGCAAAAGAGTTCTTGCATAAGATCATACCAGTGTAGACATAGCCCCAGTAGTATACTGAAATGAATAGTATCTGGCTGCTGTTTATATGGTCTATGGGCTGGAACCTGGAGTAGTAGGCAGGTTCAGGTTCCCCCACCAGCTATGGGCGAAGTGGCCTAAGCCCTGAGAAGGGGACAAGCCTTGTGTTGAAACCTGAGAACAGGGCTGCATTTAATGACTACAGAGTTGAGGCGGAGGACCGTGATGTGGGTAAATTAGACAATTTGTATTGGATTCTTTACAACTCTGTTGGACTTTGTGACTTGGCTAGAGGGCTGAGCCACTAAGGATCTGCCAAGTGAGGTGACAACTGACAGGGGGCACCAGAAACAGGAAACAGATGGCACTCCTGCAGAAGCAGAAGGTGCTCAAGAGGTAAATGCACCCCATTACAGGTTGTTAGTCCCAAACCATGTTTCTTAGCTTCTATACAGAAGGACAAGGGTTTGAGTAACTTGTGAGCTAGCACTATGCCATTCAAATAGATGGACAGATCTGTAAGTAGCCAAGAAGCCATATACGAGCATTATCTGTGCACTGAAGGTAAGATTTCAAGCTGAGAGAGTCCAAACAACTGTCCAGCCTGAATTTTTACAACAATTTCTGGTTTAGGAAGACTGTTGTCTTGTTTGTAGATGACAAAATCAGGGATTGAATGAAGCAGGCATGGAAATGGCTGGAATGTAATTCTTATTGTTAATTCATGTAAAAATTGGTTTAATACACACAAAAAGAAGGTAGCCAAAAAGGGAGGGTTTTTTTAGCCCAATAGAGGATGGAGAATGAAAAAGGTTAATGGCATTTCCAGATCCTATTGTATCTCTGTGATAGGCCAAAAACAGATTTCAGACAAGTTCACAGAACAGATCAGAAGGTGCAATGCCCCGATTAACAGTCTCTCTGAGCTTCTGGTTATGTAAGAGAAGGATAAAACTTACTTGGCAAACAAACAAAATGCAATAACTGAAACGCAATAGAAGCTAATACTTCATTTTTTCACTGAAACAAAAAGTTCCAGCAGTTTGGCTGCAGCAGTGGGCCTTTCCATTTATTGGACTATATTACCTGCTGACATGTATGCCTTTGTCACTGGCTGGAAGGAAGCTTGAGATTCAAGAGGGAAAATCATGTACCAATGCACATCTTTCTAACAGCAATAGTTCTCAAGTACATGATGTTCTATATTTAACTGTATGGAAATATCGCAACCAAGCTATTTTTCAGCTAAAAAGGAGCCCAGCATTTAGAAAATAAAATAAAATGATATATCCTCACATCAGAAATCCTTGTCATACATACACAGTCCTCCCAACCATGTTTCATTTGTTCTGACTGCAGTATGACTACAAGATCCGTATGTATCTATTCTTTCATCCAAATGCATTAGAAACTATCTTCTAATAATTTACCCAACCTACTTTTCAAATGTCAGCTTCTTCTTTCCCGTTTCTCTAACTTGTTTATTCTTCCCTTTGAAATACCCAGCTGCACAATATATTTTTTCTGATGTTTACGTGCATTGGCCAGCCAGATCTGGAGTTATCCCAAGTTACTCTTCTCTGTACTTGAATTCAATCTAAATTTAAACCTGAAAGAATAGTCAAAAGAAGTCAGCATGAAAGAAAGAAACATGTTCAGGGCTACTTATTAATGATGATGATCCTTACTTGGTCAGATTTGAAAACAAGAGGACTGAATGGTTCGGCATTGGCAATGGCACACAGCTCTTTTCAGTTCTAGACTCTCATTTTGAATCCAGCCCAGCATCCAGGTTAGCAGTATTTGGGTGCATCGACACTGCACCCTTATCTTGAAATAAGCTACACAATTTGAGCTACATAAATTGCGTACCTTATTTTGCGTTAATTTCTAAAATGCATGCTATTCTGAAACCTCCCTTAATCCTCATGGAACGAGGCTTACGAGGGCATCGGAATAGTGTGCCCATTATTTTTCGAAATGATGGGTTTGCTTAAAAGATGAAGAATAGCTGTCTTGGGATACTTCTGGTATCCCAAAATAGCTCCACAGTGTAGACGTAGCCTTTGAAAGCAGTTACTTTCTGAGAGCTGTTCAGTGTGATGTCATTGATTCCTCTTTTGGTAGTTTTAGAAGAGAGAAATAAGATTTAATAGTCATGGAAAACAAACTATATTCACACCCTTATACAAGATCAGTGTTGAGGAATATTGGGTAGGGCAATGTAGGGAATCTTTCACTGAAATTTTCAGGACAGTATCCATTCTGTTGACATATATGGGATTTGAGTCTCTAGGCCTGAAAACCCAGCACTTTTCATGAGTACTAACATACTAAATTCTCTTTTAAAAAAAATCTCGTAAGGAGGACTCTCTACTAATTCATGAAACCAGAGCTCTTGCTAAGTCTGCAATGTATTATATTCGCATCTATCAGTACCTGTTAATTTTGTGCTTTGATGGGTATGCAACTGCACTTTAAGAGCTTCCATAGGTGATGCTTAAAAGCTCAATAACGGCTACATGCTTAAAGTGAACTAAAAAAAAAAATCACATTGAGAGAACACTAAGGATACTGGAGAGCCAATGGAAGCAATTACAGTTCAGGATTAAACCTTCATTTGAAAACACTAAGGTTTTCAGGGCTCCCTTGCTGCAAGACTTTTTGTCCTGTTGTGCAAGCACTGAATATTGATATAGCCCATCTACTATTACTAGGGAGAAAAACAATAACAGCAGCAACAACAGTCTGATCCCAACACTAAGTCAATGGAGTTAAAGCAGGGTGTGAAGCCGGATCAAAGACATGTCATGGTTTTTTTTTTTTTTTATTAACTCACTCCAAAGAAATGAGGCAATCAGCAAATACACATTCACATAGAATAATTAAAAGAATTAAGATAGGACTTAGTTTGTGTTGCAAACCAATATGTTCTTATGTGGAAGTTCACCATATGTTCTCCAATACCTAGACACAAAGATGAGCCACCTTAACCTCCTTAATACGCCCCATTTTGCTATGCATTGGAGCATACATTGCTGTACATGGGTGGTTTAACTCAAAGCTTTCAAGTCTTTAAATGTCATTTTAATTGTGATTATATTAAATGATATCAACATTACTTGGGTGAATATTTAATTTTGTGCCATCAGTTATTCCACCATGTTTTTAGTCTTAAAGAGAAAGTAATACAAATAATAAAAATGATGAAGGTGTGAATACATGCAATGCAAATCATTTTTGGGAGGAGGGGGATTATGTCTTCTTTTTTGTAAGCAGCTCTATTATATGCCATGCAGCTGCAACCAGGCTAACAACAACCATATGATGGAATATCTTGTAATCCGGTTGTAGGTTTCTGTCTATAGAGACAATCTCCAAGTAGATGAGTTTTAAATCTCCTTAGAATTAAGAAGGGTAGGGCAACCAAATTAATTGTTTTGGGAAAAATCCTTCTTTATGGATCGCGAAGAGGATTTAAAAAAACAAACAAACAAAAAAACACGTCCTCTGTAGTGGTTAGTCAGATGTTCTTTTGGAGTTACAATGATTTCTTCCTTAATTCCTCTTCTTGTTGACATTCATGTTAAAAGAATAATGAGTACTATGTTCACTGCCTTAATGCTACTCATCCTTGTGTACATTATGAAATCTTTGCATTAAGCTAACCAAATGAATTGAATCACAATGTAAGGCAGATGCTTAAAACAACTGCACTCAACTGTAAGATGGCATAAAGGCTTAGCATAAATTGATACACTACTGTACAAGTGTTAATAATTGCCAGTACACTGTACAGTAATTTGTTTTAAAGAGGTGCTTGGACCCAGATGATTGAAAGCATGCATCATACTGGCTTAGCGGCTCTGAACTGGTTTTGTATTTCGATTTTTAATGTTACATACTTACCCTTTTTCCAGTATCGCTGAGACACTCAGGGAAAATGTATTATATCTATAAGTAACGTCAGGTTTAAATAATAGTAGACAACTGAACAATCAGCAGGTGATAATTTCCCAGGTATATGTCTATTTATATATATTTGTGGATATGTGATATATGTCTACAAAGGCTACATTACTAAATTATTCAATTTTAATGAGCTTTGGGATGCTAAGAAAAAATGTTTATTATTTCAGATTACAAGTCAAACAAAGCTGGACTAGTACTTATAATACTTTAATTAATATATAAAACCAGGAGACAATTCTTTTCTTTACATAAACTAAACATAAAATATACCAATTTTGACTTGATTTCTATCCGACTGAACTGTTTATTTGCTTCAGCTTTAAATCCTTCCACTCTGGTGTTCTTGAGCACCCGTTATAGAATTGAAGCTTGCTTTTCACCTATCTGTTAACAGTTTAACATAGATGTCTGGGTCCAGTCCATTGTTCCAATTGTATATAGTTTAAAAAGCTCTGCAGTATTTTACTCCTTCCATTGTATCTTAGCTTCCCTGAGTGCTCTGCTCGCTGCATTTTACTTGTACTGGTTATGTTTTCTAAGCCCATTTATGCCTTTTTTCTTCTGTACACACTTGTTCACTGGGGAGCTTAAATTGACTTCTCTCCATTCTGTATCCTTAACTAAAAATGCACCATTAAGGTTGATTGAAGTCTTTTGAAAACACTTCATAAAAAATGAAAGGCCATAAGAAATTAGGCTACCAGTGTTTGCAAATACCTGTTTTCAGCCAAATTGATGGGAAGGCATAAGAAAGAATTGAAAACTTAAAAATGCTACTGATACATGTTTATATGCTATCTATTTTTGTGTGAATTGGAAAAGCACATGTCAAACATTTTGGGGAATAAAATACTAAGAAATGCCAAGAAAATGTTCCATTCTCTAGGTTTTTGTTCTTTAAAACCTTTCTATCTCTTAAACATAAGGTATAGCTCTAAAGAGATTAAATGGATTAATTAACAGATTTATATAATTCTGTTATTATTTTAATTATTTTTTAAAGGAAAAATACTTCGTGTCCCAAAAATGTTACTCTTTAATTGATGAGTATTTTTTAAACTACACAACATATTTATCAGGTTTAGAAAGAGTAGATAAAATACTGCATTTAAAACTAAATAAAAACGTTCAGTAAAACTGAAACTTTAAGGCTTCTTTCAGCTAAAAGAGTTATGTGCAATGACTGAAAACATTAGGCATGTCTAATGTTCAGTACATGGTAACTAATTAACAAAGAAACCTTATTTGGCAAGTCACACTCCAGGAGAAATGAGAGTAATTTCTGGACATCACACAATATGTAAGGGAAAAATTGTATGAGCATATGGAAATGAATCTTACTTTAAAAAGAGAAATATCTTGAGGGATTTATGCAAAGTTTAAAAGGAAACAAGTACTTCAGAATCACAAGTGATTTACGTCGAAAATGGCAACTAGGTTGTCAAAGCAGCTGAGACTGATCCTTTCAGTGAATAAGATACCAACCAATTAAACTGTTTCCAAACTCTCCCAATGTTGCTGTTTATTACTAATAAATGCATATTTAAGTGCTTTAGTGATTATCTGAAAGAATAATGATTGAATTTTAAATTTCTCATATTTCTTTTTCTTAACTATTTTCCTTTGCACCCTATAGATTTAATTTATAAGCTCTGCTAACAGTGGAATTTTTTTTAAATGTAGTTTGAAAAACAATCTATCCACAAATTCATTTTGGCAGTAGCTCCACCAAACTGAAATATCTAAAATTCAGAAGAATTTCTCAAAAATTAATCAGCAAATTGTAAGTTTAAAATTTTCTCCAAACTAGTTCTTCTTATCAGAGTCTATTAAAAATAAATATAACCTGTGATCATACCTTTAATTATTCAATGAAAGCATTGCCACAGCAATATAATGTTATCTTTAGCAACACAATTCATTTAGAGGTTTAAAAAAATATTACTATTTTATATAAGCAATGGAATAATTGCCAGACCTAGAACATTATTTAATGGAATAATGTGAACAGAAATTGCAGCAGAGTGCATGCTTTCCTTTAAGAATTCTCCCATTAATGGGGGGAAAAGAGCAGCAAGATCAACAGGAAAAGTAGCTAAGTACACGGAGGTCATTCAGAAGCTATGAGTTCTATAGCAGAGGTACAAGAAAAAACTGTCAGTTTCCATCCCATTAAACAAGCTATGAGCCATGTGTTAGACCCACTGGGATTACCAGCAAACCGTTACCAGGATGTGCGCTAGCTCCTGCTCACATAGCTCTATAAATTATTCAATTCCTTTTATGCAAATAATGTTTCTTAGACACATAGGGAATCCATAATGGGAGGAAGAGTAACATGCATTTAGAATTAAATGCTAGGTGAAACGAATGACACTTTGCAGACTAAAGTTACTGAAAATAGCACTGCTTTTTAAAGGTCTCCACACATACACACAAACAGAATAAGGAGCTTCCATATTTTCTTTTTATATATATATCATGATCTCTATGTATGTATGTAATCTAATATGTAAAGGAGAACGTTTGCATGTTTGTGCTCTAATAACTTGGACACTATAAGAGCTACTGCAACCAAACTTTCCATGGGATAACCTTTCGTCCAGGAGAAGGTTTTAAGGGACTGTGAAAGGGAAG